CCACCAATCACCAATGAACAGATATATTTTTGGGTTAGAGATGAGTGGCAACCTTGATTCAGTCAAGAGCTTTTTCCCCCTAGGATAATCCCCTGCTGGATGCATAGAGGATATGGCTATATCATGCTTTGAGTTAGCTTAAAATAAACAAGGATCACATATTTTTAACTTTCCACTTTTCTTCCATTTTATCTTTTTTTTCAAGCAAGAAGGTACAGATCTTTCAGCAGCATTTCCAATGCATACTAAAGAGACACACAAATTATAATTTCAAAAATCACAGAGATTATATGGATAATTATATCATTCCCATGGGATCAGAGGTTGACAGAATCTGATAATGAGGATAATAGTATTTGCATGTATGCATGAACACACACACACACACACACACACACATATATATATAATTCTTCTATGAACTTATTGGAACTGGAAGTAAGTGTCACTGCATCAGAGTTGTAAATTCATTAAACTAATTCAGAAATTATTTTAATGAGGAACTCATCAACTTAGAAATCCACCAATATGCTTAAATAAACCAGGGAGCTCTTCAATCAGGGATAATAAGAGTTTCTTTGATCCAGGATCAGAATTTATAGTTCTTTGAATTCAGGCTTTATATCAGTGGTTCTTAACCTTTCTAATGCTGCGACCCCATAATACAGTTCCCCATGTTGTGGTGACCCCCAACCACTTATACATCACTGGGTGCCAGGGGAGTGGCCAAAGAGAAGGGGAAAAATGGCGGACAGCCTTGTTTGGCGACCCCCGTGAAATGGTCGTTCGACCCCAAATGGGGTCCCGACCCACAGGTTGAGAACCACTGCTTTATATGAAAATGTATTATAATTTTATATATTATCCAGTATATTCTATATACTGTAATGTTATATAGCATTATCCTGATTCAAAAAGTAATGCATTCAATTAATAAGACTTTTTAAATATATATATATATAAATTTACTAAGTGATTTTAACCTACATCGTTGTGATTAGATATCATTATTCCCTTGTTTTTCTCATATATTTGCATTGTAACTATGCTTCTAAAGCAACTGAATCACATTTGCTCAAAAAAAAAAACACTGAATTATTTAGCCACAGATACAATATAATGATCATTTTCTTTATCCTTACTTTTGAATTAATACTTCGAAATATAGTGCCCAAAGTTCTATACAGTTTTGGGGAAAGCACTCTAACCTTAATTGTTTAAAGCCTGCTTTCCACTTTGAAGAAATAAAATGAACGTGGGCTGAGTACTTCAAAAGCAATTAGGAAGATATTGTTGGTGTAAACCATTCCAGAAAGCCAGAGCTACTATTCACTGTCTCAAATAAGACATGCAGGAAAATCAGTTTCTATCTACATGGTCACCACTACATATCATGTGTTAGTTTTAAATATCATGAATCTATGTTGAATATTCTCCATTTTCCAGCTATGAAGGGTAGGGTAAGATTAAATGCATGTTTGAGTTCTATCATATAGTCCTTTTACTGCTGCTTTCTTCTTCCTGAATTCTTAACCAAAGTGATCCAAAAAATGATCATCTCTTATAAAAACTAAATAGTATCACCATATCATACACATAGCTACATTAATATTTTGTTGCCTGCTGACATGACTGAGGCCAAATAATAGCTGAGAATAAAAGCATAATACCAAAATCCTATATGGATGAGCCAATCAAAGACAAAATACCTGCTAACACTATCTGTATATATGTAAATTAATAGGCTGGACTTTTTGTTAGTATTAAGAGTAATCTGTTTTCTATTATTAACTTAATGAAAATACAATCTGTTAAATATAAACTGAAATTTTGTTACAACATAAAACATTTCAAGGATATTCAAAAGTCATCTGGGGAAAATCTACCCACCATTATTTTTTTTAACATTTTTGTATGTTAATGTGTGTGTGTTATTGTAAGGAACCAAAGTTTGCATTCCAATCTAGAAGAACAACCTAAAAGAAATATTCATTTTGGATTGGTAAAATACCCTTCCAGTAAAACTTAATTGAAATAGAATCTGATGACTGACTAAAATATCATAAAAGCTTTCAAAATAAATGCATATGAATCGTTATTAATGACAGTTATCTATAATAGTTTGACTTCTGTTAGTTTAGAACATCAAAAGATTAAAATAAATATAAATATAATTGTATTTTTTGGGAAAGATGAGAATTTGCTGATCTCATTCCCTTCTGCTCATCTTTTAAATTTCATATTATTGTATTTCCATTGTTTTATTGTTTCGTTCCTTTACTATTGTTATTTTTACATTTTTTTATCATTTTTTTGCCATATCCTTTTTTTTTACTGAAAATTTTTACAGTTTTACAATAAAATAATCCCCCTCTCCCACCCACCCCCTTTCCCCCATACCCTCCCCCCTCCTTCCCAGAGCTGAATACAGGGTTAATAAAAACTAAAAAAAACCTTACAACTTAAATAAACATCAAACAATTATAAATACATTTAAAAAACAACAAAATTTTAAATGCTTTAACTCCGATATATAAAAACAAAACAAAACAATAGTTCTAATCGTTACCTTAAACATAAATTATTCAAAAGCTAAGTAATACTTTTTAATCTCATATTTGTGCTGTATAAAATTCACCCATCTTTTCCACACCAAAAAATATTTCTCTTGCGATTGATCTTTCAAATAAGCCGAAATTTTTGCCATTTCAGATAAATAAGAAACTTTAAGAAACCATTCTTCTAAAGTAGGCAAAAACTTCTTCTTCCAATATTGCCCTATCAGCAGCCTTGCCACTGTAATTAAGTTCAACATTAAAATAATTTCTTTATCATCACAATCAACAATAATGCCTAACAAAAACAATTGTGGTGTAAATTTTATCTTCTATTAAAAATTCTTTGAATGTTCCACCAAATCTTAATCCAAAAAGCCTTTATATTTTTACATGACCACCAAATATGATAATACATTGCATCCAAACAACCACATCTCCAACATTTAGGCTGCAGATTTGGATACATGCGAGACATCTTCTGTGGATCAAGGTGCCACCTATAAAACATTTTGTAAAAATTTTCTCGTAAATTTTGAGCTTGTGTAAATTTAACATTCCTCACCCAAATTATCTCCCAAGTATCTAATAAAATCGGCTCTTCAAAATTTTGAGCCCATTTAACCATACAATCTTTAAGTAATTCTGATTCTGAATCCAATTCCACTAGAACACCATAAATTCTTTTTATATGAGTTCGACTTTGGTCTTTAATTTGTTTCAACAAAATCACATCCTCCCTAATCAAACCCACTTTTTGATCTATCCTCCACCTTTCTAATAATTGTCTATACTGAAACCAAGAATAATTAATATTTTCTTGTAATAATTCATCCATAGATTTTAATTGCCATTTTTTCCCATCCCAATTAAGTAATTGTTTATAAGAAATGCTATCCATCTTCAGTCCTTTTCTTATTCTTTAAGCTTCTGATGTAAGCTGTCCAGAATAGACCTAGGGTGAAATGGATAGCAAATAAATAAATATTTCTGATTTACAACATCCTTTTTGTTAACAATTTGCCATTTTATTGCAGCATTTAAAATTATGTTACATACGATTGCATATCTCTGATTTAATATTGAATATCATTCTATGTTAAGGATCAAACAGTAAAAATGAATAAATCTACATCTAAAATAAAATATTTATTTTAGATGTAGATTTATTTATAAAATAAAATATTATTTAAGGGATTTTCAATGAAAAAAATTAAGAACAATCTGGGAAGGTAATCCATAATAATTTTAACTCAGACAAATACACATGTTGGTGAGAGTCATAATTGGGATATGAGGTTGCTGAAAGAAGGAAGGAAAGACGGGAGGGAGGGAGAAAAGACACACAATTGCACCCATTGTATAATTCTTCATTAATCATTGAAATGGCCTTCTAACTTCAACTTCACCATCATAAGTATAAAAGAGACAATTTCATTTTACTTATGGAACTCTTCATAGAGACTTGGTGAGTAGTGTTTCTTAAGTAGATACACTCATGGGGCAGCTGGCTGTTTCTGAAAACAATTTCAGCTGATTGGCTTTTGTTAATATTTTTGTTAATAATTGTGAAAGAGAGCATAATAAGGAATATGTTCTTCAACAAATCCATCTATTACTTTGCACTTTGGAATGGCTTTTTTTTAAAAGTGTGTTAGATCTTAGCAATTCCATTTAATGTTTGGTTTGGCTTTCTTATAATTTTGTCTAAGTTTTAAGTTGAGAAAAATAACAAACATTCTTGCTAAATTTCCACAAGGCTACTGAGTCACTCATCATAGTACATTCTAAGTAAAAAAACAACAACAGCATATTACTGGCTAATAGCTTTTGCCAAGATATGGTTAGCTAGGAATCAGCTTTTGTTATTACTCACTTTTTGTTACATGACTAGTAAATCTAGTTCCCACTGTCTCAGACAAATGATGCATTTAATTAGCAATACTATTTGTCATTAATTACTATGGTTATGGTTATGATTGTGAATTTACTTTATTTTGCGAAGTGAATTTTGTTGTATAATTATGTTGGATAAATGGAAAATAAAATTTAAAAAAAATTATTATAAATCTGGCTAATTTTCATTTTAATGAATATTAAGTTGCTTTATTTGTTCAGACTTTCACAACAGTTATGAGAAAAGACTTATACAGACTCTTATTTCTGCAAATTGCATCAAAAAGCTTTTCTTAAAAATCAATTGCTTGATACAGTTCCAAAATAGACCTACTTCAGAATAAATATATTTAGGGTGTGCATTTAGTTGTCTTTTCATGTTAAAAATCACGATCAGTAAGAAGTAGCAGCCTATTAAAAAAGTTCTGTCATGTTGGAAATATATATTATTGTGCAGCTTAGGGTTTGCTTGGCTTGTGCACCATTAAATATTCTATGATGTCTCTAAAAATCCTAGAATTATGTAAATAATTAATCTTTTTTCTACAGATGATAGAAGTCCCCCCAAAAGATGTTTTTCTTTATTGTCCTGCCAATGAGAGGAGATGGGAAGAAGAGCTTCCTCAATGCCATCCTGGTGCAGTGGATAGAAACTAGGAGATGGGGAGTTCTAATCCCACTTGGCCACAAGACCAATTGGATGACCTTCAGTTGGTTACTTATTCTCAGGTGTCGGAAGAAGGCAGTGGCAAATCACTTCCAAAATCTTGCCAAAAATTGCAGAAACTCATCCATCCAGTGGTCAACTTGCCTCACTTGAAAGCACACACATTTAAAAGATGGTACCTTACTGTGGAATGATACATCCAGAGATTTTTGCCTAGCACCTCCAATAAGTCTTCTAATTTCAATTTTTTTAAAAAAAGAACCTTCATTTTCTCAAGCATAAAAAAAACATGTTAGTCTTTTTAAAAGTTTGTATTTGTTGGCCACTGCCATCACTGGATTTATTACTGTTATTGTTGGTCACACAGTCAACCAGATATTTAGGTTAGATTTAGCATTTTTATCCATTTATCGAGTCCTTTCCAGCGACCTGGAATAGGCAGATATTGTTTGATGGTATTAAATGTATCATCACAAATGTAATTTGTTCTAAGTAAGTGCCTTTTGTAATTGACTGATAGTGATTTTGTCAATGCCAATAGTGTTCAAGTGTACTCCAGATGTTCATTATATTATTATAATTGGCATTATAACATTACTATTGTTGTTGGCCCAATCTGAACTGTATAAAAAGTGTTAGGAGTACAATTTGTAAAATACTCAAACCATTCACAATGTTGCACTTCTACCGTGACTAAAAGGCATTACATTTTTTAAAAATTATCTATCCATATTTTAATAGAAGTTATTTAAATTTATTTCTTAGTAAACATGCAGAAGATTGTACTGATGATCTAGGACTCTTGTGTTATCAAGACGACTCAGCTTTTGCAAATAATCCAAAATACATTTGTACATTGATGTGAAAATGATATAAGGGGGCTGTTGTTACTGTTGCAAATATTTAGTATTAGAGTGTCAGTAAAATGAAACATCTTGCCTTTCCCCTCCCGGGGCTATGAGTCACTCCTAAACTGCATGCAAAGAAACAGCTACATTTTACCAAATTTAAGAAGTTTCCATAACTGACATGTCCTTATGTAGAATAATTTTATTCCATATACCACTATGTACTATGTACATTCATATACACCTCCTAAAATACTTTGCATACAATAGACAAAATCTATTTTCACAGCCACTGAACATATAAAGCCAGCCCAGCTGTTCTTCTTTTCTGAATCATAACTTCATTTCCACAACACAATTCTACTTGTTGCCTTGCAAAATAAATTGCATTCTTTTCCTTTAAAAAATTAAAATCAATGAAATTAATTCACAACACATTTTTTTTTCAAACAAATTTTATTGGTTTTTTAATTTTTACGTCCGAGTGCTCAGGAAAACACCATGGTAAAGGCGAAATCGGTCATCCAAAAACAAAGTCATACATATATAACTGAAGTTAGTACATTAAAAATTTCCCTCTCTATTTCCTCACATGATGTAAGGAATTTAGTTTAATCTATATCTTCATAAAATTCAATCAGTGCAAACGATCATCATCCTGCTTTAAGCTTCACTAATTTCAATTAACATATTCAAATTCATCTTAAGTAAACATATTAATAAGACGGCTACATTGGGTATCCCTTCTACAGCATACATAGTATTCCAACAATAACATTCTAGTATTTTCACATTTATTCCATTTCTTAATTTAATACATCATTGGTTAATACCCTTTCTTCTCTTATAATAAATCTCTCTAGTTCTTCTTCTATTACAAAGTAATTTTCTATATAAACAGAATAAAAAATAAAGAAATATTTCAGCCCTTTAAATAAAATTTAAATCTCAACCAAAATAGTTTTCATGTCTAATACAAACATATCATTACACAAATTATCATCTTACTATAATAATAATAATAATAATAATAATAATAATAATAATAATAATAATAATAATAATAAAGTTGGAAGGGACCTTGGAGGTCATCTAGTCCAATCCCCTGCTCAGGCTGGAAACCCTATATCATTTCAGACAAATGGCTGTCCAGTCTCTTCTTAAAAACTTCCAGTGTTGGAACATTCACCACTTCTGGAGGCAGGTTGTTCCACTGGTTAATTGTTCTAACTGTCAGGAAGTTTCTCCTTAGTTCTAGGCTGCTTCTCTCCTTGATTAGTTTCCATCCGTTGCTTCTTGTCCTGCCTTCAGGCGCCTTGGAAAATAGCTTGACTCCTCTTCTTTGTGGCAGCCCCTGAGATATTGGAATACTGCTATCATGTCTCCCCTCCTCCTTCTCTTCATTAAACTAGATATACCCAATTCCAGCAACCTTTCCTTATATGCTTTAGCCTCCGGTCCCCTAATCATCTTTGTTGCTCTTCTCTGTACTCTTTCTAGAGTCTCAACATCTTTTTTACATCGTGGTGACCAAAACTGGATGCAGTATTCCAAGTGTGGTCTTACCAAGGCATTGTAAAGTGGTATTAATACTTCACGTGATCTTGATTCTATCTCTCTATTAATGCAGCCCAGCACTGTGTTGGCCTTTTTGGCAGCTGCAGCACACTGCTGGCTCATATTTAAGTGATTGTCCACTAGGACTCCGAGGTCCCTTTCACAGTTACTACTATTGAGCAAGGTACCTCCTATACTATACCTGTACATTTGGTTTTTCTTGCCTAAATGTAGAGCCTTACTTTTTTCACCACTGAATTTCATTTTGTTAGAAATGTGTTCAAGTGTTCAAGTCTGTCCAGATCCTCCTGTATCCTAAGCCTGTCTTCTGGAGTGTTGGCTATTCCTGACAGCTTGATATCATCTGCAAATTTGATGATTTCCCCATCTATCCCCTCGTCCAAATCGTTGATGAAGATGTTGAAGAGCACTGGACCCAGAACAGAGCCTTGGGGCACCCCACTACACACTTCCCTCCATTTAGATGCGGTTCCATTGAGGACCACACGCTGAGTATGGCTGGTCAGCCAGCTACGGATCCATCTGGTGGTGATGCTATCTAACTCACATTTTTCTATCTTATTAAGTAGTAGGTTGTGATCTACTTTATCAAATGCCTTACTGAAGTCCAAGTAAATTATATCCATAGCATTCCTCTGATCCACTAATTTTATCACTTGGTCAAAAAATGCAATAAGATTTGTCTGTATGATCTGTTTTTGACAAACCCATGTTGGCTTTTAGTAATGACTTTGGTGTAATGACTTTAGTAATGACTTTTGCCTCTAGATGTTCGCTGATTCGTTGTTTGATTATCTTTTCCAGAATCTTCCCAGGTATTGAGGACAGGTTGATAGGTCTGTAATTTCCTGGATCCATTTTTTTCCTTTTTTGAACATGGGAACTACATCAGCTCTTTTCCAGTTCTCCGGTAGTTCCCCAGTGCTCCAGGATCTTTGAAAAATATAGTTCAGTGGTTCTGAGATCATATCTGCCAGTTCCTTGAGAACCCTGGGGTGTAATCCATCTGGTCCTGGCGATTTGAACTTGTCTAGACTGGACAGGTGCTCACTTACCATTTTCTTGCCTATCTTAACTTGCATTTCTATTCTGTTTTTTATGGCACTATTTTTGGTAGGTTGGTCTGTTTTTTCCCTTTGTGTAAAGACATGCAAAAAATGAGTTAAATAGTTCTGCTTTCTCCCTGTTGCTTGTCACCTTCTTGCCACTTCCCACTAATGGACCAATCATTTCCTTCACTTTCTTCTTATTTTTTACATGTTCAAAGAAGCTTTTTTTGTTATTTTTGACTTTGGTCGCAAGCCTTAGTTCATTTTGAGCCTTAGCTTTCCTCACTTCATCTTTGCAGGCTCGGGCTATTTGTTGATATTCTGACTTAGTTATGTGCCCCTCTTTCTTATTTCTATACTTATCCTTTTTATGTTTCAATTTATCAGAGAGTTCTTTATGCAGCCATGCTAGTTTCTTTTGAGAGCTGTTATTTTTCCTCTTTGTTGGTATTGTGCTGAACTGGGCTTTTATTATCTCACTTTTCAAAATGTCCGAAGCTTCTTGAGTTGTTTTCCCCTTGAGGATTCTCATCCATGGAATCCTTCCCAAGCCCTCTCTAAGTTTATTGAAATTAGCTCTCTTAAAGTCCAAGACTCTAGTTTGACTGTGTTCTATTGCTTGTGCTTCCATAATGTTGAATTCCAATATTGCATGATCACTTCCTCCCAAGGTTCCTGTGGCTTCAACACCTTCTATCATTTCATCTCTGTTAGTGACTATTAGATCCAGAATGGCTAATCGCCTAGTTCCTTTCTCTACTTTTTGGGAGACAAAATTGTCTGCTAGGTTTGTAAGGAATCTGTTTGATCTTGCACTTGGTGCAGAGTTTGTTCCCCAGTTGATGTCAGGGTAGTTAAAATCCCCCATTACTATTGTTATGTGCTTCCTACATACTTTAGTTAGCTGATTAGCAAAAAGTTCATCTATTTCCTCTGTTTGGTTGGGTGGCCTGTATTACACACCTATGGTAATGTCATTCCCCCCCCCCTTTATATTGATCCAAATGCATTCAAGACAGTTTTCATCATTGTTGTGCTCTATTTCTGTAGAGATGTAATTATTTCTTACATATAGAGCAACCCCGCGTCTCTTTTGTTTGGTTTGTTTCTTTTAAATAATTTAAATCCCTCTAGCTGTGTGTTCCATTTGTAGGTTTCATCCCACAGGTTTTGTAATGGCAATAATATCATATCTGCCCTCATTAACCTGAATTTCTAGTTCACCCTGTTTGCTGTTCATACTCTGTGCATTGGTTATAGACATTTGAGTCCTTTATGAAATGACCCTGTGTTAACTTTCTATGTAACCTGTGTGGTGCCTGAGTTCCCTTATTGTTTTACTACCTATTTGGTTAGTGCACTTTGTGTGACACTCACTATTAGAAGCTTGATTTTGCTTGACAGCCAGGTTGATATGTCCGCACACACATCTATGTTACATGCACTGATAGCCCTATAGTTTTTAGATTGCCAGGGACAGGGATGTTCTGTATCAATTAACTCACTGTCCCCGCTGTTTAGTTTAAATATTCCTCCAGAATATTTCACATACTCAGTTAATTGTCAAATCAGTCCGAATCTCTAAAGCCTTTTTGATTCAATAAGTGAGAGTTTAAATCACATTTTTAAATCTCTGGCTTTTTTTCTGTGCCAAGCTGGTGTCCATGATGCTGCATCTATGTCATCAAATCTCCATATCTGAGTACTGGTATTTATCAACAAATAGTTCTGGTCAAAGTTCTCCTCCCCATCTTCCAATATCATGTAGGTAATATACTCAATTTTGTTCCATATTATGATTACAGCTTGATTATCTAAGTTGTCATAACTTTCAATAGATCGCATCTGGAAGTCAGTTCCTGTTGGTTTTAAAAGTAAGAGTGGTTTCATTTGAAGTCATTCTTTGATCTTCAGAGTTCTCCATAGTTTGTATATAAACTTGTGAGATATCCTCTTCTGTAGTAATTAGTTGACTTGTAGAGTGATTAATTAAAGTCTCAGTCTGGGATTTTGGGTCCAAAGTTTTTCTAGAATTCAACTGGTCAGTAGGTTCTTTTTCCATCTCCTTAAATTGTGTACATTGTTGCATATCAGCTTCTTCTTGGCCTATAGGTTGATCTTTTAAAATTTGAAGCTCAGCTTATGGTTCTGCAAAATGATCTTTAATTTTTCTCCATGATTTCATATACTCTGTAGCTTCTGATTTCCAGTATAAGCTCATAATCAAGCTGTGGGTAAAATTCTTCCATTTCCATAGTAAAATAGTCTTTTAGTCTTTTAGTGAGAGCTATATTTATTAAAAGTCAATAAACATCCGCTTCACAGTTTCTAGATCACAAAGTCAACCCACAGCTATTTCCAAGCCTTTATCTTCTTTTATTATTATTTGAAGATCAAATCCATCTTCAAACACCTAAAAACATTACCATTACAGTAACACCTTTTGCCACAAGATGTCCTCAGTGAGCTTAGAAACTTTTTTCTTTCCAAGTTAAAAGCTGTTACCTCATTTTGAGAGTGAGGAAGAAAGAGGCAGGAAGAAGCAAGTATCTCCGATATAGTAAGTAAAATAATGCTCTATAATACAAGTTTTTCCAGGAGTCCCAAGTATCCAAAAAATTAAAAGTCCAATAAATGCTGTTCTATAGTTTTATCCAAAGTATTTTTTTCCCCAGATAAACAAACTCCGCTTTCTTAGGGCAGGGAAGTCATCCAAAG